TAAGAAGTGTTCAAGAGTCCAACAGCAGAGGGGAAGAAACTGTTCTTGTGGCGGGAGGTTCTATGTCCTGATGGACCGCGCCTCCTGCCTGAGGGGAGATGGGTGGAATAGTCCATGTGCAGGGTGAGACGGGGTCGGCTGTTGACGACCAGAGTCAGGGCGAATACAGGTGCAGCAGGCTGCGGCAATCACTTCTCTGCACAGCCGGCCTCGTGTAGGTCTCTTTGTCCTGACTGTTGCCATCCACGAACCCCACGGGACGGAAGGAGGTGAGGATGACTCGATGATGGCCGTGTAGAACTGCACAACATATGTGCACCGGGGCTGCATGGCTTTCCTGAGCTGCTGCAGGAAGGTACATCCTCTCTGGCCTATCTTGATGAGGGAGCTGATGGTCAGCTCCCACTATGATGTTCCTGGGTGAGGTGGTCGCCCAGGGAAACGGAAGGGGAGAGTCCATACACGTGACGGTTGGGGCCGGGGGGCCAGTGCTATTCCTGAAGTCCCACAATCATCTCCACAGTCTTCTGGGACGTTCAGCTCCAGGTTGTGAACCACTGCACAGCCAATGACACCACGCCGTCCACCTCCCTCCTGGTAAGGCGTACTCATCGTTCTTGGAGATGAGTCCAATGATGGAGGTGTCATCCGCGAACTTGAGCAGCTTCACCAGCGTCCGTGCTGGAGGTGCAGTGGTTGGTGTAACAGGGATAAAGAGCAGGGGAGAAAGAACACAGCCCTGGGGCTCCTGTATTTATAATGGCCGAGAGTCCCGAGAACATTGTCCCCAACGCCCCTCCTGCTTCCTGTCTGTCAGGAAGTCATGATCCACCTCAGTTGGAGCAACGGGACGATTGAACTGGGAGAGCTTGTCCTGGAGCAGGGATGGCAGGATCGGTTGAAGGCAGAGCTTAAGTCCACAACAGGACCCTGGCGTAGGTCCCCGGGAACCAGTGCGTAGGATGTGGTGGAGGGCCAGGTTTGATGGCGTTGTCCTACAGATCTGTTGGCTCGTAGGCGAACTGCAAGGGGTCCAAGAGGGGGGAGGTAGGGACTTGAGATGGAGAGGACTCAGGCCGTTCAAATGACTTCCATGAACGACAGACCGTAAGTGCTACATGTCTGTAGTCATATGGAGTCCTGTGATCCTGGCTTCTTCGGGACGGGGGCAATGATGAGGAATTTGAAGCAGGCCGGGACATGGAAGGACTGCCGAGAGGAGAGTTGGGAAAAATGCAGTGAACACAGGGAGTTAGCTCACTCGCGCAGGTGTCTCAAGTGGCGGGAGACACGTGGTCCGGCCGGAGCTTTGCGGTGTGCAGCCAAGAAGAGTTGTTTTACTATCTCTGTGTGCCGGGACTTTGGCGGCTTTCAGTTCGTAATCCCTGAACTGATATTTAGCTGCTTAGTAGCCGGCTGGCGGTCCCCCTCCCTGAAAGAGCCGACAAAACATGGGCATCCATCCACCTTACAGGCCAACCTTAGCCGTCTATACGGCCCAGGACATAGGCTCTCCACCGTCGCTGCCCGGGTGTGGCTTAGCACGGTGGGGGGTGAGGATCCTTCCACTGCCAGTGTTATTCCTGCATGCTGTCACCCACCTGCTAAGTGATAGGCAAAGGAAAAGGAAGAACGCCCTACACCGCAATGATGCGCATGAATAAAGACACGATTTAACTGAACTTGAAACTGACATTGAAAATGTTCCAAAAGTTACATGACCACAACTGTGTCCTCTTCCAGCGCTTTCCGGGCATCAAGATCAAAAGTTTTGTTCAAATTTTTTCAAGAAACCGTAACCGTAATATTTTGCTTGTAATGTTGATGTTGTAATAGGACATAAAGCCATCACTTTATCCATCAGGCTGAAAGGAGTGGAGCTCAGACAACTGCAAATGGCGACTCCAATTTTTGGCTTTGGTTACACCCATTTCCCCCCTCGCAGAAAGACGTTGCCTAAAACCCGTTACCGGTGATCCAACGATTTTTCAGGCGGTTCAGGACTCTTTAACTCATCAGCCACTAGCTTTGCTTGGACAACCCCTGGTACTTCAAGTGGCACCTCCCTCCGCAGCCAACATCACCAAGGCAGGGACTCCTCCTCACCACGCCCTTACCTATCTCTATAACAGTAAGTAAAGATCGGTAACCTCCTCCGCATGGAGGGGCTTTCAACTAAGTTATTTCACGACCTACAAAACAAAATGAGAGTTCAAGTTGTTCCCCGTCCCAACTGAACCACTTCCGTCCTCCCAAAACAGAGATGAACTGTGACAATTCCTGCACCACCGAGTTACGCTGTAACAGAACGCAAAGGATACACAACAGGAATAGCACGTGCTTGACAACAGTCAGTAATTCTGTAATTGTATGTGACTTTTATTTAGGACTCCCCTTGAAAAAGAGGTCCTTAATCTCAATGGGACTTTCCTGGTTACAATAAGTAAAAAAAATATAATCAAATATAAAAAATAATAAATATATACTATATAAAAAATAATTAATATTAGGGCTCGTTCCAAATATATCGCGTTTAATTCACGTTAATTAACCGGGTTTTCATTAAACGCGTAAAAAAATAGAACGCAGTTAACTGCCATTGACGTGTAAACTCTTGTTGGTTGTACCCAAAAGTAAAGGTTTTTGTGAGCAAGTCAAACAGACTTATACAAGGCTCGGGAAGACCTGCCGTCACAGATAACTAGAACTCAAGAGCCAATGGAGAGTTCCAGGAACAAAATTCAAATGGTATGACAACGAAAACTCATAGAGAGGGCGCCACACATGACGCGATTAGGCTCAAAGTGAGATTTTAACTAATTTTGAGAAAAGGTTCAATATATGGCCAGGACATGTAGGGGAGCACTATAGGAAACATATTTAGCATGTATAAGTAATAGGAAAAAGTTGATTTGGTGTTTAGTTACTCTTTAAGTCCATTTGGTATGAATACCAAAAAGTGTCATTACATGTGAAAATCTCATGTAACTTCAATTGGAGTTGATTTGAAATAGAATGTTAAAAAATGCCGATTATCGTGAGTTAACTCACCATTAATATGGTTCGATTAATCACTAAAAAAATTAATCGTTTTACAACAGCCCTAATCATATATATATATAATAAATATATATATATACTATAATAAAATAAATATGGTATTTTTTATCTTTTGGCATACCACTAGCGGGAGTCCCCCCGAGTTCCAAGTGTTTTACGCGTACCAACACATTGGAGAATCACTGAACACGTCAATACAGACAGACAGACTGACATATACAGAACAGACCAAAAGTTTGGATGCTTTGGCATATCAATGAGTTGTAGATTCACTCTCAGCCTGTGTAAGGCTAGTGACACGGCCTCCACATCACCAGAACTGTGAGGCAATCCAGAATGGTGTTTGTGCGATGAGGGTGGACCCACAGAGTGAAGGTGAAAGGGCCAACAAATGCTAAGCTTCTCAGATCTCCTTCTAAGACTGTTGGAAGACCTTTTCAATCATACCTCTGAAGCTCATCAAAGAGAATGCCAAGAGGTGGTGCCGAAGCAGTAATCAGAAGCAAAATAAGGTGCTACTTTGAAGAACTTAGAATAAAAACAATTTCAGATGTTCATACTTTTTTACTTAAGTACATAAAATAATATCCGACATGAGTTAAATTCATAGAGTTGATGCTTCAGTGGAATCTACAATTTTCATAGTTAAAAAAATGAAAATATGAAAAATAAAAACAAATCTTGAATGAGAAAGGTTGTCCAAAACTTTTTTATAACAGTTGTCAAATGCTTTCATTAGACTTCTCACCTCAGATGGAAGAGGAAACGTAAATATGTTATACACTTCTAGAGACAACCAACCATATCACAGCTACTAAGTGGGGGGTGGGGGTACAAAAAGTCTTAAGCATATAGCTTAAAACATACTTGTAAAAAAAAACTTAAAAGTTGGTCATTTTTTTTATTTTCTTTATTTCATTTTTTAGTTGTGTTGTATGTAATGTAAGCATCTCTGTATTGCAATCTCTTCAAAAGTTTTATTTGTCCAATCACATTGATTTAAACATTGTACTCTAAATAAAGTGTTGTGCTGAGACATGCCGTCCCTATTCCGAACAACACAACACAGACAACCAAGCACAATCCCAGCTACAAATCATATTTCACATTTATTTGAGAAGGTAAATTATAATTCTTTTTTTTTAAATCTCTTATATATTCTTGTCTAAATAATTTTCCCCAGTTACCAGAACGGAGGTGCCAAGTGTTCCTCCCAGTGCCACTCACACTCAGCCAGAAAGCAGCACTTACTCTACCCCTCACGAGACAAGGCCATCCCCCCAGCACTGTGCTCCCAAAGCTGTGGCACCCAAAGAAAACGCCCAACCACAAAACACCCAGCAGCAGCAGCGCGCACAGCAACATGGACTTTAAGAAACAGTCCCGGACACAGGCCTGTAGGTGAGCACATGAGTCACAGAGCAACCAGCCGGACATGTCCCAAAGTGAAGCAGAACTGCCACATGATGTGGTTATGTCGATTGGACTAGTATCAAGAGTGGGAATGACTCCAAGGAGTTACTGTTGGATTTTTTTGTATTCTAAAGTCTAACAAGAATCCCAAATATAAGTGATTCCTAATAAATAAATATAACTAAAATATCCAAACTTTGAAACCACAAAATTAATAAATCCATAGTTTATTGTTTCTCTCTCTCAAAACTCTTTACTTCCATTGATAGTTTTCACATGAATATTTTTTGGCCTCTTTCACACCTTTAACTTAGCTTTTTCAGTGAAAAAGAGAGTACTCTCTAAGCCAATCAGACTCTCTGTATGTAAAAGACAGCATTGTTTTCTATAGATGAAGACAGCCTGTTGTGTCTGATCTTTGTTTACACAAAATGTTACTTAAACAAGAATACTTGGGACCTATAAATAAAGGGTTTTGGGCAAAAAAGAAGAAATAGAGACATACACTATTAAATAGAGGTTTCCTTATGTTTGTGTGGCAGAACGCAGAGGAAGCGCAGCATCAGCCAGAGGCCTCCTCACAGCCCCCACACCCCACCTCCCCTCTGTGCAAGCCGCGCTGCAGAGCTCTGTACCAGTACATTGGTCAGGACACCGATGAGAATTCAGCTTCGAAGTCAATGACGTCCTTTGAACTGGCTCAAAGAAGGTAAGAAAGGTTTGACTACCATGGATTGAAATCATATTCATAAAGAGGTTCTCACCCCCGCTCCTCGGATCTTACGCACTCACATTCCAGGTTCAAACTTCCTCTAAAGGGCGTAGCCTGGAGGACTAAAAGGGGCGTGAACGAGACTCTGGGCCGTTACATTTGCGTCTGGGCGGCGGCGGCTGACGTCAGTCCAACATCTGAGCCAGTGTTGGCGCCAGATTTCAAAATTCAAATTGTAGTAATACAGGTCGTCCAGCAGATGGCGCCTCACAGACGGTTTTAGGGCAGAAAGTCTGACTATCTCTCTCACAACAACACACAATAAACAAAAAAAAAGAGATAAGAGAGGCAATAAAGATAAACCATAAAAAGCGCAAAACAACCCCAAAAACGCATAAACAAAAAAAAAACAACACAACAAGAAAAAAAATAACTACAAACAGAACAAACTGCCGAAAAAAAGCAAAACCACTAAAAAAAGGGAACCAACCAATGAAATACCCAACATAAAGACAAAGGACGAAAAAACACAAAACAAACAACGAAAAACAAAAGAACCCGAAGAAGAAGGAAAGCGAAAAAAACCCAATAAGAGAATTCCGGAGAAGAAAAAGAGGGGATTAAAGGAAAACAGCAAATCAAAAAACTCAAAAATGACCGAAACTAAAACAGAACCGAAACCATCAGAACAAAACAGTAAACAAACAAAAAGCGGAAAAAGAACAGAGAAAAAGAAACCAAAACGGAACAACAAAAACAAATACAAAAAACAAAACAAAAACGACTTAAAAAAAAACAACAAATATCATAAACAAGAGCAAAACCAAGCCCAAAATAAAAGCGAACAAAGACAAAACAACACAAGTGCAATACCCAAAACTAAAGCAAAACAACAGAAATAAAAACAAAAATACGGGGACAAAAAAACAAATTGTAGAAGATAAAAAAGATCAACAAAAACAAGGGCACGACAATCCACACAAGGAACGACGAAATCCTAAACCACAAAATAAAAAAAACGAACAAAAAGAACAAAACAAAAAAAAGAAAAAACGAAAACATACGCGCCCAAAACAAAAAAACCAAAATAGCCAACAACGAAACATGCCAAAAACCAAAAACGAAAACTAGCAATAACCCAAACGCGAATAACCGGACAAGGCAACCCCACCACACTTATCTAGGAGGGAGGAGGAAAAGCAGAGAGATCGTCAGACTTTACTGCATAAACCCGTCTGTAGGCGCATCTGCAGGCACCTTTATTACTACATTGAATTTTTATTTTGAATCTGGCGCCACACTGGCACAGCAGTATGGACTGACGTCCAGCCGCCCCGCCCATAGCAATGTAAACGTCCATTCTCGATTCACGCCCCCTTTAGTCCACCAGGCTACGCCAATTTAGAGGAAGATTTGAACAGAAATGTGAGTGACCGGAAGCTCCGAGGAGCGGGGTTGAGAACCACTTAATGAAAATGCTTTCAATCCCCTGGTAGTCAACCCTTACTTACATTCTTTAAGCAGTTCAAAGTCGTCATTGACTTCGAAGCAGATCTCATCGGTGGTCCGGACCATGTACTGGAACAGAGCTCAGCAGCGCGGTGCCCACATGGGGGAGGCGGGGGTTTGGGGCTGGAGGAGCCTCTGGCTGTTGCTCGCTGCCTCTGCTTTCTGCCACACAAAACATAAAGGCAACATATTTATTGTGTTGTCTTCTATTCATTCCTTTGCCCCAAAACCATTATGAATAGGTCCAATCATTCCATTGTTTATAACATTTTGTGAACAAATGCATAACACAACATGCGGTCTTCATCTATAGAAAAACTGCAGTCTTTACATACTGAGACTGTTGGCTTAGAGAGTACTCGCTTTTTTCACTGAAAAGCTAAGTTAAAGGTGAGAAAGATGCCAAAATACTTCCATGTGAAAACATCAATGGGAAGTAAAGAGTTTTGAGAGAGAGAAACAATAACTATGGGAATATTAAATTTATTGTGGTTTCAATTTAGGATATTTTAGTTTATATATTTATAAGGAACGACTTTTATTGGGATTCGTGTAGACTTGAGAATACAAAAATCCAACAGTACTCCATTGAGTCATTCCCCACTCATGATACTAGTCCATCGACATAACCACTCATGTGTCCGTCTGCTTTCCCTTTGGGACAGGTCCCGCTGGTGCCTGTGACTCAGTGCTCACCCTGACATGCCTGGTCACGGGACGTTCATAAAGTCCATGTTGCCTGGCTTCTGCTGATGCTGGGTTGTGGATGCGTTCCCTTTGGTGCCCAGCTTTGCGCACATGCTGGGGGATGGCCTTGTCTGTGAGGTTAAGTAAGTGATGCTTTCTGGCTGAGTGTGAGTGCACTGGAACTTGGCACCGTCCGTTTGGGTAACCTGGGGAAAATATTTAGACAAAAATAAATAAAAGAGATATAAAAAAGAATTATAATTACTTCTCAAATAAATGTGAAAATGATTTGTAGCTTGGGATTGCTGCTTGTTGTCTGGTGTTGTGTTGTTCGGAACTAGGGACGGTGTACTCACACACTTTATTTAGAGTACATGTTTAATCAATGTGTTGACAATTAAACTTTTGAAGAGATTGCAATACAGATATGATACATACATACACACACTAAAAAATGAAAAAAAAAATATAAAAAATACAAACAATTTTAAGTTTTTTTTACAAGTATGTTTATGCTATATGCTTAAAGACGTTGTAGTAGCTGTAGATAATGGTGGGTAGTTCTAGAGTGGTATAACATATCATTACTTCTCCTCTTCCATCTGAAGGGGGGTGAGAAGTAATAATGAAAGCCATTGACAACTGATAAAAAAAGATTGGACACCCATCTCATTCAAGATTTGTTTTTTTTTTCATATTTATCATTATTTCACTATGAAAAAGTGTAGATTCACACAGAAGGCATCAACACTATGAATTAACTCATGTGGAATATGTATGGTCTTAAGTAAAAAAGTATGAAACAACTGAAAATTTGATCTATATTCTAAGTTCTTCAAAGTAGCACCTTTGCTCTGATTACTGCTTCGCAACACTCTTGGCATTCTCTGATGAGCTTCAAGAGGTAGTGATTGAAAAGTCTTCCAACAGTCTTGAAGGAGATCCTGAAGCTTAGCATTTGTTTGGCCCTTTCACCTTCACTCTGTGTCCAACTCATCACAAAAACCATCTGATTGGGGCCCCCCCCTTTCCCCCACAAAAAGTCTGGTGGAACTGGGGAGGGCCCTGGTCAACTAGCCCGTACACAGGCTGAGAGTGAATCGACAACTCAATTGAATGACAAAGCATCCAAACTTTTGGGTCTGTACTGTAATATGTCAGTCTGTCTGTCTGTATTGACGTAGTTCAGTGATTCTCAAGTGTGGGAGCGTAAATCACTGGTACGCGGCTCCCTCTAGTGTATGCACAATGATAAAAATACATATAATATATAGTTTGATATATATATATAATAAAATAATATATATAAATTAGGGCTGTCAAAACGATTAAGTTTTTTATTACCGTTGATTAATCCTCCCCGGCCCCCACGCCCACCACCTCTGGCCCCTCCCCTTGTCCAGTCCTGTCGTGGTTGAGTCGCAGGTCCAGCAGGCATGTTAGCCATCTGATTTCTAGTTTCCTTTTTATTTTGGGTGGCTTTATTTCTAGCTTCACTAAGCTGTAACTTCAAAAGTTGACAAGTCATATCTTCAATCAATCAATCAATCAATCAAAGTTTATTTGTAGAGCGCCTCTCATACACAGGGCAACACAAAGCGCTTCACAGTCCACATCACAAATCATCACATAAAACAAACACCAGAATCACAATTAAAACATTAAAATCACACAAAAGATTAACTCTTTCAGTGCCAGACATTTTCAGAACATCACTCCTCCAGTGCCAGCCGTTTTGCTGATTTTCACCGACTTTTAAAGACCCATAGAATATGTTCTGCTATGACTAGCTTAAATCTGAGACCATATTCTGAAAGATTGGACCCTCTAGTTTACTCAGAAAAAATAAGTGTGTTTCTATCGGCTTTAGTTCTTCTGTAATCACCATTGGAGTAAGGTAAACTTTTCACAGAAATCATCAGTTTCCGACATAAAGCTGAGAAAATTAGGTGTTTGTGAAAATAAGCAAACAATGCAGAAAAGTGACTTTGAAAAGTTTTTTTTTACTTTAGTCATTTCTCACACAACAGAACATTCTTCCCATATATAAAATAAGGGAAATGACTCAAAATAAAGTGCTTTTGATAGCAAAATAATACTCAGAACACAGAATAATACTCAGAACACAGAATAAGAAATGTACAAACATACAGTAAATTACAAACAAATAACTATATACATAAAGTGCTGATTGGCTGAGAGTGTGCGTGTGTGCGTGCGTGTGTGCGTGCGTGTGTGCGTGCGTGTGTCTCTGTCTATATAGTGTAATCTTGTTGTGTGTGATATTTTGTGAAGCACTCTCCTTTGTGTAAGGGGACACCACATGCCTTGCACCACATCCTGGTCTCACTGCGCAGGCCTTTGCGCATGCAGACCCTGCATCTCCTCGAGGGTCTGGTCTTCGAGCCGGAGGACAGCAGGTACTCCACCTTGTGCCTGGCACCCTCATCGAGCCTGCTCTCTGGATCAGTGTTATATGGAGCCCTGGGGTTTCGTGGTGCTCCTTCCTCCACACATGCAACGATCGACTCGTTCTCCTCGTTGTGGTCCTCCTCGTCCTCCTTGTCCTCGATGTCCTCGATGTCCTCCTCGTCCTCCTCGTCCTCCTCGTCCTCGATGTCCTCCTCGTCCTCATCCTGGACCTTCAATGTCCAGGACCTCATGACCCCCTGCATAAATTCCAAGAGGGTTTTGTATTCCCGGTTCCCGTTCCTGGCTCTGTAGAGAGTGTAGGCATTGTACATTGCGATTTGGAACAGGTAAGCGACAAATTTTTTGGTCCAGTTCAGAGACTTCCGGACGAACGGGTAGTATTTAATGTTCTGATCCAATCGATCCACACCATTCATGGAGGAGTTATAGGCATCGACACACTCCGGTTTTAGGACAGACACCTTCTCCCTCTGTCCCCGCTGCCAAACGTCGACACTAGTCATATTGTCATGGTGACATGTTGTCAACATCTTGACAATCCGTTTGTCCCGCCACGCCACAACCATGACCTTCCCATTGTTCACCGCGACTCTCCCCCCCACACTCAGCTCAGTCTTGGTCACGTCCCTAATGCTCTCAGGCTCTCCCCGGTTCTTCCTTAGCGTCCCACACACATTTGTTTTTACTGCCATCAACTGCTCAGACAATGCCACAGAATTGTAATAATTGTCCATAAACAGAGTGTGGCCGGCACCTGGGAGACGGTCAAGCAGAGAAAAAACAATGTCAGGGATCGTGCGAGGCTCACCAACATAGGGCTGCAGGTTAAAGCAGTAGCCGGTGGCAGAGTCGCAGAGCACATAGGACTTTATTCCATACTTTATGGGCTTCTGTGGGTTGTAGACCTTGAAGGCCAGCCGTCCTCTCCAGAGCAACATCCCCTCATCTATGCAAATATTCTGCCCGGGTTGGAACATTACCTTGAATTTATTGATCAGGTAGTCGTAGACGGGGCGAACCTTGTATAACCTGTCAGTTACATCAATTGCAGAGTTGTCATTGTAATGGAGGAACCTCCATATGAGTTGGAACCGGTTCCTGGACATTATTTTAGTGAAGAACGGGGTCACAAACATCTCATCCACGTTCCAATACATTGCCAGGGTTGGCTTGTGGATAACACCGGTGAGGAAAGATAACGCAAAGAACTTTTTTAGCTCTGGAATGGTCACTGGTCTCCATGCATGCTTTCTGCTGTGTTGCGGAATCTCTGGGTTTGCCAGGAAATGCTGCTGAGCATAGAGGTTGGTCTGCTCTGTGATGTGCTGGAGCAGCTCGTCCGTGAGGAACAGCTCCAGGAAGTCAGCAGGCGAGGTGGACTCCAGCTCTGCTGCCGCGTTCAGGGGACCAGGCGTTGCAGTGAAGGGGAACACAGTGGGTTTCCATCCGGATTTCCGCCAGGTGCCGCCTTTACCCTTTGCAACTGTAATAAATAATGGAAATGTATACAATAAATAGGAATCAAATAGAGCTTGTTTTATTGTTTTGATGTGATGTAGAGAAAGATATTCCTACCTCTTTTCTTCACACCTGTATTTGCAGGACTCACGCTGGCAGCGCCTCTGCTCAATGTAGCGCCTGTATAGAATTGTACAATAATTAATAGTTACCTAATGTAACTTAAGTTCTACGAATAGGTGCGTAGTCCCTTAGGACTTCGCTAGTGGGATATCACGTGACCCCCAGGTCACACGCCAGAGAGATCAAAATAATTTGCTCCAATCACCAGCCACCCTCCTCTATAAATGCCCCTGCACAAGGCCGCACCCCCTCTTGAACTCTGCCAAGCCGGGCTGGCCTGATGGGCTCGTAGCTAAGGGACTACGCACCTATTCGTAGAACTTAAGTTACATTAGGTAACTATTAATTCTACGTCATGGTGCTACGTCCCTTAGGACTTCGCTAGTGGGACACAACGCGGAGGCCGTAGGAACATGTACTCCCAGCAGGCCAGCGAAGGGTGATTGGAGCTCCGCCCGAGCAAGGTCCTCACACAGTGAGGGGACTCAGGGCAGAAGAAACAATGCGTGTTACAGGGCCACTCCTACCAAGGATACCCCCATGTAACACAGATGTAGGTCATCCGTAGTCACAGGACGCCTCTCCCAAGGGCTCCTGACGTGGACTACCTGACCGACCAAACACACATATATGTACCGCACCTGTAGGATGCCTCTCCCAAGAGCTCCTGAACCAGGGCGGAAAGTAAAACGAAGGCCCCCTCAGAGGAGGGACCTAACGGTCTAACTCAGTCCGCTGCACTCAGCACGGAATGGGCCACCGACCGGTCCGACACATCCAAAAGATAAAACCGGACGAAAGAGGAGGACGACGCCCAAGAAGCCGCACGGCAGTTGTCCTCGACCGACACCCCCCTGAGAAGGGCCGCAGAGGCCGCCATCCCACGCGTGGAATGCGACCTGAAGCCCACCGGGAGGGCCAGACCCTGCGTCTGATACGCCCGCCGCACAGCCGTGGCGACCCAGTGCGCCAGCCGCTGAGCCGACAGCGGGGCGCCCCTGTTCTTGGGGCCCAGACACACAAACAGCTGACCACCCAACCTGAATGACGACGTCATGGCCAGGTAATGCCTCAGCATTCTGACAGGACACAGAAGGTGCCACCGCTCCTCCTCGGGGAAGGCATGCGGTGGCGGATAGAAAGCCCTAATCCTGATGACTCTCGACCTAAAGGCCGACGTGATGACCTTGGGGAGAAAGCCGGATTGGGCCACCATACCACCATGCCGTCGCCCTCACCAAAGGGCAGGCAAGACGCATGGACAGAGAGCGCACACAAGTCGCCCGCCCTCTTAGCAGACGCCAACGCCAACAAGAGGGCCGTCTTAAAGCGTCACACTCGGGACTCGCCTCCGCCGCCGGTTCAAAAGGCGGACCCGACAGCCCCCTAAGGACCACCCTGAGGTCCCAAACCGGGGGCGTTCTCTGGAGCGAGGGCCTCCTCCTGCGTGCCCCCCCGCAGAAAACGTTTAACCAACGGATGAGAGCGGGCTGTGAACCCCCCGAATCCGTCGTGACCCGAAGTAATGGCTGCCGCGAACACCGCCAAGGTGGCGACAGCCCTCCCCTTGTCAAAGAGCTCCTGTAGGAATCCCAGGACCCCCTCCAGCGGGCAACGCCTGGGATCCCAGGAACGAAAATCGCACCAGTCGCTGAAGAGCCTCCACCTCGCGGCGTAGGCCCTCAATGTGGACGGCGCCCTCGCCCCCTGAGTGGTCTCCACCACCGCAGGGGGAAGACCCAGGCCTACGAGGTTCCGCCTCTCAGCCTCCAACCCAGAGCCTGCGGCCGATTTTCGGGCGTGAAACAGGGCTCCTCCCCCCCCCGGACTAGAGCCCCCGGCTCGTCCGGGAGGGCCCAGGGCTCCATCACCGCCATGCCCCTCAGGAAGGGGAACCACCGGGCATGCGGACTGTCCGGCGCCACCCGGATCACCGACCTCCTCTCCTGTTCGATCCTCCGCAGCAGGACCGGCAGGAGGCGCACTGGTGGGAAAGCGTACAACAGGCCGCCTGGCCAGGGGTAATGAGCCAGAGCGTCCACGCCTAAGGGCGGCTCGTCCGCGGCCCTTGAGGCGAACCAGGACGGGCACTGTGCGTTTCCTGCACTGGCGAAAAGGTCGACCACTGGACGGCCGAACCTCCGCCAGATCTCCGCAGCTACCCGTGGGGCCAGGCCCCACTCGTCCTGGAGTGGGCCCCCCCCTGGACATCCTGTCAGCCCCCACGTTCCGGACCCCCGGGACGTGGCGCGCCCTGAGAGACAGGAGGTGAAGCGCCGCCCACAGCAGCGTCACCGTCGCCATGCAATGAAGAGCGGGGGACCTGGTGCCCCCCTGCCTGTTCAGATAGGAGACCACTGCGGTGTTGTCCGAGCGCACCAACACGTGTCTCCCCTGCAGCTGAGGGGCAAAGTGCAGCAGTACTCTGTGCACTGCCTCCATCTCCAGCAGGTTGATGTGACGGGCTGAGTCCGACCAGCAGCCTCCTACAGAACTCTGGCCGAGGACCCCGCCCCATCCTTCGAGCGACGCGTCCGTGAACACCTCCACGTGAGACACGGCGCAGGGCAGAGTCACTCCGTCCCGCAATAGACCCGGAGTGAGCCAGAACCTGATGTTCGATGCTGCCACTTGGGGAACCCAGACCAGCCTCCCCCCGTCCCGGGAGGGGTGAAGCCTGAGGCGTGAGAACTACCTCTGAAAATTCCTCATGTGGAGAAGGCCTAGCCGCACCACAGCATGAGCCGCCGCCCTCATTCCCAGCAGGGACCTGAGGCGCCGAGCGGGGACTCTGGGGCCCGCCAGAACCTCCCTGGGCAGACGGGTAGTGCTCATCCGTCTGTCCACGGACAGTGCAGCACGGAATGTCACAGAGTCTAGCTGCAGGCCGAGATAGATCATGCGCTGAGCCGGTTGCAGCCTGCTTCTACGTCATGGTGCTACGTCCCTTAGCGGACTTCGCTAGTGGGATAACACGTGCACCTAATCGTAGAACTTAAGTTACAATAGGTAACTATTAATTTTCTCCCTGTTCACCACAGAGCCCAGGCGCTGTATGTGGGACGGGACCCAGTGCGTGTGACACTTCCCTGGATGATGCCAGAATTAACCAGTCGTCTAAGTAGGTTAAAATTCTTACCCCAGCGCGTCTGAGGACTTTTCCACGCATTGGAAAAGTCCGAGGCGCGAGTGCATAAGTACTCGTAATTCCTCTCTCCCACTGCGAAGCGCAGAAACCTCCTGTGTTCTGGCACTATGGGCACGTGGAAGTACGCATCTGTCAGGTTTATGGAGGACATCTAGTCTCCCTCCCTGACACACTCGAGGAGCTGCTTTGTGGGCAGCATCCGAAACTTCCGTTAGGAAAAGCACTCGTTCAACACGCGCAGATCCAGAATGGGACGCACCCCGCCTGACTTCTTTGGCACTAAGAAGTAAGGGGAGTACAGCCCCCTGGTGGCGTCCTGCGGGTCTACCTCCACTGCTGCGCCTCGACTCAGCAGAGAGGAGACCTCCGCTTGCAGTGCCTCTATTGATCCCCGTATCTGAGAGCGCACTGCCCGTACACCTCGGAATGGTGGTGGCTTATGGAAGAATTGCAGTGCGTAACCCCTGCGCAATGTTTTCTGTCATCCAAACCCTGCTCCCTCCAGATGCTGTAGAAGTCTGTGAGGGGCGGAACGGGAGCTGAAACACGAGACGTCACGGCCCCGCCCTCTCCTGGTGTTCCTAGCAGGGAGGGGGGGTGGCCGAAAGGGCCGGGGGGCCCCCTGCGTCACACCGTGAGCGCCGGGGGCGGTCACGTGTTCTGCAGGCCCGACGTCATAAGTACGGGACTGCTCATCACACGTGACTCGGCTGCTGTGCCCCCCCCTGGCTCTTGCCTCATGGAGGGGGGGGCGAGCCCCTGGAGTGGGAAACCCCGTGTTAGCCTTGTAGCTCTGCTCACCACACGTGACTCGGCTGCTGTGCCCCCCTGGCTCTTGCCTCATGGAGGGGGGGGACGAGCCCCTGGAGTGGGAAACCCCGTGTTAGCCTTGTAGCTCAGAGATGCTAACACGCGTTCGGCTGGAGCACACACATATATCACTCACCAGATCCCTCCGCCTGCCCTCTCTCCGGGAGGGCAAAACATGAACCCGTGAATCGGAGCCCGTGGCCCGCTTAGCGCGCTGCACGCCCTTCTCTGGGGGCTGCAGGCCTAGCGGAGCCACGTTATATGCTCGAGAAGTAACACAATCAGAATTCAAATCATTTGACATGTTACATACCCCCAAATGAGACTCAGACAGCGAGTACTGATGAAATGCCGCACGGCTTTTATTGAAAGAACTCTTCCCACCCCGACCTCCTCTGCCATAGGGAGGTCGTCGGTGGGTGCGTTGCTCCCGCGAGCCACCCATGGGTCTGTCTGGACCCGGGGGCCTCGTCGAGGGGGGACGATGGATAACAGAGCGCGGATACGGGTCAGGATGCCTCCCGGGCCAACGTTCTCTGCCTCTGTCCCGGCTCCGTGATGGCTGGTGGGCCTCGCGCCTCGGTGCGGGGCTAGCCTAGCCGAGTCTTTAGCTGCAGACTCCAGTCTCGCCACCAAGGCCTGCATGTCCGGGCCGAAGAGGGACATCTGAGAGGTGGGCAGGTCCAGCAGCTGCCTCCTCTCCGCCTCCCTGATATTAGCCAGCCCAAGCCAAAGGTGCCTGGCCCGACTTGGGCTGCAGCCATGGAGCGGCCACCATCCACAGCTAGCGTCTGGCACATGCGCAGAGTCGCAGCCGAGGTGGTCCTCGCCTGTGACAGGAGGTCTCCACTGAGCGCCTGGCCAGAGGAGAGCGACCTATTCAGGGCCCCCGTGATGAATGCCATGTTGTTAGTCAATGCCGCATTGGCATAACATCTATCCAGCATCGCCAAGACATCCTGTCCCGCTCGGAGGGAAGGAGAGGTCTGGTGCCGGGCCACACGAATGCGGAGGGCTGCAGGGCCATGCGGACTGAATCCTCGACGTCCTGTCCCGCTCGGAGGGAAGGAGAGGTCTGGTGCCGGGCCACACGGATACGGAGGGCTGCAGGGCCATGCGGACTGAATCCTCGATCACCGGTCCAGGACCAGTCCTGCCCGCTGCAGTACATGTCGTACCCCAGAGCAGGCCTCTTGGCTGCTAGGGGCTTAGGCCACTCACGTGTCGCGTAATGGACGAACGGGTCCATCTGCGGGCACAACGTGGGTCGCATCCTCCTCCTTCCTCGAGTGGTGGCACCCACCGAGGTGAAGTCCTCCACCGTCTGGATCCAGTGACGACGTCCGACGCCGGAGGGCGAAGGGAACTCGGACGAACAAGGAAGACATCTCAGAATGAAGTAAGTACTGTGGTAGATCTCAAACGGCGCCAGAGTGAAAGAGGGGGTGCGGCCTTGTGCAGGGGCATTTATAGAGGAGGGTGGCTGGTGATTGGAGCAAATTATTTTGATCTCTCTGGCGTGTGACCTGGGGGTCACGTGATATCCCACTAGCGAAGTCCTAAGGGACGTAGCACCATGACGTAGAACTCATCTATCCATATACACACATATCCAAATACATATACATCTACAGACGCACATATCCAAACCACACAGACACACACGCACAGAGACACACGTACACACACACTACACATACATACATATTATACACATACATATAGACACACATGCATATATACATACATATATGAGTATTTTATTTACCTGTAGGCCTCCTTTTACCAGCATTAGTACTCCTGGATTGGGCCAGCACTCTGCTTACTAGAAATACACACAAATACAATCATGAGAATTATACAAGAATACTTTTATTTCATTGCTAAATACATATGTATAATGTATGCCTTACCTGCTCTGCCGGTTGCTCTGGGGGAATCGGGGGATGAGTCACTGCTGTTTGGGTCAGCTTCAGGTTCCCATAGCTCTGAAGAGCCTGTATCCGACGAGGAACTTTCTCTGGACCGACGTGGACCACTGGAACTGCGCGCGGCGGCTCTGGAGCGACGTGCGCGGCAAGGACTCCCGCCAACGGCCAGATGCTTAGCAGTAGCTTTAGCCGTAGCCTCAGGCTTTTTGCCAACTGAAGGCCGAGGCAGATCACCTCCACCTTCATCATGGCCATCACCCACCGACCTTCTGATGGTACCACCAGCACCAAACGCCTCCTCCATCGTTAGCTGCCGCTTTCTGCTCATGTTCGCTCTCCCGATTACTCTCGTGTGCTCACTCTAACCAACCTACTCCCACAATGAGATCTGGGCATCCGGTTCCTTTTATGCCTGATCGAAGAGCTAAAGGACGCTACTGACATCTGCTGGCCGAATAAAATACTGTCAAACAGTCCCGATCAGAGATATATGATAGAATGGATGCGTCTGGATCTGAATACACCAAAACACGTCAATTGCATAAAATGCGTCAATGGCACACAAGCATAGATCTAGAATTGACGTAATATGCGTCATTGGCACTGAAAGAGTTAAAACACAATTAAAACATTAAAATCACACAAAAGAATAAAACCATTAAAACTTTCAAAATTACACAAGAAATTTAAAAAAATAAATAAATAAATGACAGCAGTGCATTAGAAATGGAGATAAAATCCTTCAGTTGTATGCACAGGCAAACAGAACAGTCTTTAACCTGGATTTGAACATTGACAGAGTAGACGCCTCCCTCACATTTTCAGGGAGATTGTTCCAGATCTTAGCTGCATGGATCTGAAACGCAGCCTCCCCATGTTTGGTTCTCACTCTGGGCACCAGCAGGAGGCCAGTCCCTGTGCTCCTCAGAGTCCGGGCTGGTTCATATGACACCAACATGTCACTAATGTATTTTGGTGCAAGGCCATGGAGAGACTTGTACACAAGCAGAGCTGTTTTAAAATCTATTCTTTGAGCCACAGGAAGCCAGTGCAGAGACCTGAGGACCGGACTAATATGGTCATACTTCCTGGTTCCTGTCAGGACTCTAGCTGCTGCATTTTGGATGTACTGCAGCTGCTTACAGGTCTGTTTGGACAGACCTGTAAGCAGGCCATTGCAGTAGTCTAGCCTGCTCTAGATCTTCAACACTCTTTCTCTCTTTAGTTTTATTTTCAACATATCGCTTAATGTGAAAGATTAAATTTGTCTTCCACTGCGCCGAATCTGGGTTAATATTAGCCGGGTTGTCCTCAATTTTTGAGCGTATTGTTTCTGGTAAACCATTCAAAATAGCTGCTCTAAAAGGCATGACTTCACTGACCTTGTGAGGGTGTCTTCCTACAGTGTCCATCCACTTGGCCACACTCTTGTCATAAAATACAAGTGGGTCCTCAGACTCCAGCCAAGTTAACTCACGAGGGGCAGAAGACAGCGGGGTTGGAAAGTTCTCCCTCAGTGCTTCATACCAGGCATTTGCATACTGGCCAAATCTGGAAGAATCACAAACATCAGCAGTACCAGCTTGTCTTTCAATAGCATCTCTCTCCCATGGTTTACTGCATGCTGCCAACACTGCCCGGACGTCACCCATCGCCACATCATGACCTGTAAACCATGTATTGAGACTGGAAATCCAGTTTCCAGCTCCCTGGCACAATGGAGGCATTTTGTCTTTTATAGTCTGCATGTCACTTATAGAAAAAGGATGGTACTCCCCAGCTGCGCCTCGTCCTGGTCTCAGAGGGAACATGGATTTTGTCTGAGACCTGGTTCTGCTTGCAACTGGTCTATTTCCCTCAGGCTCCTGGTCTCTGTCATCACTACTATCGTCAGAAGAGAATTTAGCTCCTTTTTTAGCCTGTTTAGCTTTAATTGCTGGTGGGGCCATGGCACCGTCTCCCTTTTCATTTTCACTGTCCGTCCTAGTCATGGCTCTGCGTGCGGCTTTATTAATTAATTTTGCATTCTCCTGTCTAGCGGTCTCGTAATCATGGGTCCTACTTGGGGTTTCTTCTCTCTCAACTCTGTCTGTGGTGCATTCAAAGGTCGGTTTCCTAGCTCTAATATTTCTGAGAGAGTGCAGGAGGAGCTCCTGCACCTCTTGAATGGGTGGGGGTTGGTGAGGGGTGTGTGGGAGCTGTGGCGGGAGGCTGACAGCTGGATTTTGACTCGGATCTCTATTGTCCCCCACAGACTCCTGTTCTGTCCCTTCGTCAAATTCACTGTCTACAAAGTCATTGTCCCATCTCTTTCCTACCGCCACTTCTCCTGAAAATTTATATTGTGGCAGTATTAGATTTGGCTTACCTGGTTCTAAACCCAGAGAATATTTTGGTGGAGCCGTGGGTAGGGATGGGTATATATTACTCACCGGCATTGCTCCGTTTTCTGTTTCCTTGTCTTTACTTACCATAGGTAATTTTGCCAACGCCGTGGCAGCCAGAGCAAAGTTGTGTACCTTGGTCCTCAGTTTCTCAGCCTTTTTTAGTTCCTTCTTAATTTTTCTACGCTCATTCCAACTCTCTCCCTGCTTTCCCTCAAGCTCTAGTTTATCCTGTTTTAAATTATTTTCCTCTTCCCGCAATATCTTAGCTAATGCGGACGCTGTCATATACTCAGGTATGACCCTTTTGTTCTGTATTTTTTCCCATGCTTTCACAGCCTTTCGTTTTGCCTTGTTCCTATGTTCTTTATCCAGACCACTCAAAATCTGAGCCTCTATTTCTCTATAGAGCTGCTCGATTTGAATGCCTGTCTCCATTTTTCGGGGGGGCCCAAAATTCCCCCAGGCTCCAATGGGTTAAACCTAACTTGTGTGTTGACGCGTCCGTCAACCACGCTAGTCACAGCGGGCTTTGCTGTTTCTGGCAAGGCTTCTCAAAAAATCTTTACTTTTAATATATTCTCACAGGGTTCTAACTACTTAGACTCCTATTTTATTTAATTTTAACGTATTTTCGCAAGGCTCTCACTACTTTTTAGGCTTTTACTATTTTTACTTTTTGAATTAGCTCCTCCGTGGACAAAACTTCTCTCCCCTTGATTTGTTTAGTCCAATATGCAGATTTTTAATTAGTCAAAAGGTATCTGCTTACCTTCAGTTCAGCGGCCGCTTGAGGAGAGACGCAGAGTCCAGGGAGAGGTTGAAAGTCATCAAGGGATCACGTCGGGGTCACCAATTATTGTATTAAAAAATGACGTGTTCAAAATCCCTTATAAAGATGACCATGATTCAGAAAGTTAAATTCAAAAAGGTTTATTTCCCTAATACAAAAATAATCTAAAACAGCTGTTCGGACCAAAAGTAACTATCCCTTATTCTCTATATAAAGTATAAAAGTATAAACTTGGGTGGGCGCTCCACACCAAAGTCACACACTGTCCCTGGTCCGGTAAAAAACTAACTAAACACATTCAAGCTATTCATTAAGTAAATGTGCAGGAAGAAGGGGGCGTGTCGTATCAGGCAGGTCTTGGGTCCAGGGTCCGGCCTCTTCCATCATGTCCCCTCTGTCTCGCCGGACCTGAACAGAAATCATTCACGCACTACCCCTCCCTAATTCTATAGAAATATTACTTCCTTGAGATAAGGCCGGAGGCTCTCTGGGTGCCCCTCCTTCTTCAAACAACTGGAAGGATTAGCAGAATCCCCCCAGATTACCTATCATTAACTCACCCATGCACTTTGGACAAAAATGGGACCAGGGGAGAAGAGCAATACAAGGTCTTTTTTTTTTTGCTTGGAAAAAGACACAGTTCAATTCCGGGTCAATCAAATTCACATCGGCTTTTAGTCTATATTTAATACAACACAATGGAATGGTCTCTTAACAGTTTCCATCATAATACCCTTCAACAACTGATAGAAATACCTTGTGAACACTTTAATGTTGAACAGTTTGTGCTAACTTAGCTGTTAGCTTAGTGGCTAACATGGCTCCAGCTGCTTCAGAAGTAGTCACTGAACATCATCCCCCTCACTCTAATAACATAAGACTGCAAACGCCTGTGTCCTCGGGTGAGCTTTGAGCTAAGAACTCCAAGGTTGTGGGGGATTATTTTATCTTTTTTCTTTGAAATCAAACAGCCACATACAGGACCACTGCTACTCAGCACCGGCCCACTGATGTGAGGAACTAATCAGCTCTCATAACACAACCACCCAATGAGATTCCTAAATGGCTCTTGTACACCTGACATTTAAAATACAGCAGGGTACTGTCATTTAAAACATCAGCATACTGTTTCAAGTTAGGCAGCACATAGTACATGGCTAACTACAGTACCTAACATAGCTGTAAATTAACAGCCATTTGTTACAGTGAATATCTACGGTCTCAGACATGACACAACTCTCTGGTCTTATTTGACACGTGTGTATCACCAGAATGTCTTATGTCATTTTCTACCCCTTTATTAATCGTTTTCTGGCTCGGGGGGGTGGCCACCCAAGTCTCATTGCACCAGTCCCTCACTGATCCTCCTGCAGGTGGTGGGTCCACAGGAAGATGGCTTCTCTGTCATCAACGAGATGGCCTTGGTCTTTCAGCGGGGGCTTCGGGCAATGTGGGGTTAAATGTCTTTCCCAGGGACACATCGACAGTAGACATCAGTGGGAGCAGATGACATGGGTTGTGGTGGGCTCGAACCCACGACCATTAGGTCCAAAGTCCTAATGGTATCTGGTGATACAGCTACTGTCGCCCCTGTATCACCAGAATGATTGACAATTGGGAGAACCAATAGTCTTGATGATCCACACAAAAGTAGAACATATTTCTGTATACCTTTAACTCTAATTGAAACTATATTTGTGTGAAAATGTATCTGATTAGATTGGTCAGTATTGTGAAAAATAATCATGATTTAGTTTTCTCAGCCTGCCTGATAACTGTCTGGATCCACAAGTTTCTTGGGAATAGGTCTGGAGAGGTCTGTGCTGTACGAGTGCCATAATTAAAAGTTACAAATGTGAAGTCTATCTGACAATTTTCTTTTCTGAATCTGTGATGCGTGGATGGCGAGGCAGGCTTGTAAAAATATGTCTGCTCAAAGGAAAACAGCCTTTGACGTGACCTTTTTCCGCTGATGTTACATCAAGGGACAGTGCAGTTTTATATCAATAGTCAGATTCCAAATGTACTAAATAGGGCACTAAGAAACTGCTGTTATATACAGTACTACCCCCCCACTG